CGTAGAAAGATAGAAGCCTTTTGATTCGAGTAAAGCTGTAGAGATGTCGTCTCTTCATACTTTTGAATAACGATGTTGCAGTGTGTCTACTTTAGGTGCATCAGATGCACATTTGTTTGAACCAGAAATCGACCTCTAATTAACCTAGTGGTAAAGGCGTAGTGACTTCACACTTTCGATTGAATGGCCAACCTCCTCACAGACAAAATTTCAATTGCCCGGTGTTTAGGTGTTGCTAGCCAGAGGCTTAACGTCTTATTTTTAGTTTGTCGATTAGATCGCTCATCATTACAGTAAATTACTAGCAATAAAATAAATTACGCAGCAATACGTGACGAAACATTTATGGCAAAGAAACCACGGCATGGAACGATTATTAAAAAATAACTTCGGTTTAAATCAGCAAATTAAGTTTTTGATTGCAACAACTACGATCTAAAACAGTCCGACACAAAGATAGCGAACTTGCGCGCCGATGTCCGTCTGCGGAGTGCTATCTATTACCAATGCCTGTTTAACATGAGGATGACTCCGACAAGGATATCTTGTGGGTCACGTCGTGGACGTCAAGAATAAAAACGGCACGACGTCGACGTCGACGTAGCTTGTAAGAGATGCGTAAGCGTTGAAGTTTATTCTCCAGGCATTTTATGGCGTCCTTTGTCTACTGTATTAGCGCAAGGTGTCACGATCAACATCAGAACATAAAATGGCTGACAATGGACGCCATTCCATGCTTTGGGGAACAAGTGCAGATTTGATAATCGTTGCACAAGCGCGTGATTTTAGCGCGTCGGCCTTGCGACTTGAAGATTCAAATAGGTATTCAAGTATCTTGGTCGCTTTTGATGACGCGACTACGACACCCAAGACAACGGAAGAGCCATTTGGCCTCTTGTTCCAGAGAGTGGATCATCTTAGCGGGCTGTCGACGAAATTTGAATTGATGTCATCGCGTGTGAAAATGCTTAGCACATCATCACGATCGAGATCAAAAATCAACTGACAAAATAATTCGAAAAGCTGTGCAAGATAAATGCCGCAAAAAAGCGTTTTGCGTAAATGGGATGGACGTAAGATTGACAGGCAGACGAAGCAATTTGCGGATTCGCATTACGCAATAACGGGGTGATTAAGAGCAAATTAGAGCTGCGACCAGGTTGGTCAGAAATGTCTGGTCGGTAGAAAAACGACTAAGTATTGGTGATGCAGGATTTGCGGTGGAAGAAGGACGATGGTCAAAATAACCTAGCAACAGTGGTGCTACATCCCACAATGATTTTATGGAATAACTATTTCGAGTTCTAGAATCTTGATACGCATCTAATTAGCTACTGCAGGCGGTAGAACATCATTCTTTCAACAAGCTCTCTAATAAGGGGAAAGAGATCGTCTCGGGTAGAAAAAGCTTTGCTTTATTAAAACTTTACATATCGTAGGACTTCGCAGAAGATTGTTGCTTGTTGACAATAATGCCAAAGCTATCGGCAAATTGGTACTGCAAAGCCGTATCTTATCAAAAGCCGTTTATTTAGAGATTACCACCTGACAATATTGCGTCCCAAAATATACTCGATCGATATATAGAGGGTGTTAGTGGTAGATACACCACTTGGCTTTCATTGGCGTCAGATCATATCTATGAACCACGGCACGGGGGTAGAAATGTTGCATTCAGCGTGTGTCCTCTAACAACGAACAAGCATTTACTTCGAGTACAACGGAGCAAGCGTAAACCTTTCACTGGGTAGGAAGAAGCATGTCAGGTGGAATAACCGAGCTGACACTCAGTGGGATGTTGGCTTTCTAGTATGGATCACCAAGACACAGGCGCTCTATCCAATACTCAGCGCTCGACCAAATGCATCCAGGTGATCGCAGGAGCATCAAGTGACAAGCGTTATATCAGTGAGTAAAAAGTGATCAATTATCTCGCACGTTCAATGGCGAAGATGACGATGTACTGGAGCGTGTGTACACCGTTATTCAAGTGCCTGTGCATGATTCATCGAAGGGAGATACATAGTATATGCTCGATTTCATGCAGTTCTTTTAATCAAAAACAAGGGTGAAGCAACTTAAAAGCTCAAGAAATCTAAGAAAATACAAAGACCGATAGACATATGTCAGTCGAAGCGGTACCATCCACAAGTTTAACGTTGTGCATAGCTCTTTTCAACCGGGATTGCGGAGCGCATGTACAGATATCATAGAAAAGGCACACGGTATGCTATACAAAAAAAGTTTTTGTCTGTATGTTGGCGGAAGTGGTGATACAGCAGTATATTTGATTCCTTTAGCCGCTCGACGTATACAGCCAAAATCGACATCACGTCGCATACCGTAGGAGCTGGCATTGAATATGAATCCCCCAGTTGATTAATTACGCGTTTGTAAATTGCGAGGCTCTATTCATATCGACCATGCAAAGAGAACAAAGCTGGAACCCAAGAGCAAGGAGTACCGCGTGTTTGACTTAGAGAATATCAAGGTCAAAGTGGCCCAATGTACGAGCGTAAAGTGTGCGTCAAGACCCAGAAGTTCTAAAGCAGAAGAGACCATTGAATATATACATAAAAATGATCAAGTCTCTCCTAACAATCAAGTGGATCCTTCGCCAGTTGTAGACGAATCCATGGATGCTATCCAATAAAAGTCGCAGCCGTCAAAATAAAAGATGGAAACCGTACACCAAGCGTCGAGATTCAGCTGCTGATCTCTGTTGAAGACATGTTAGTGCTAGCAGAGTACTAATCACCTTCTTACGCAAAAAGACGATCATTTGGAGTGTCGAACTGAAGCGAAACAAATAAAGAAGACGTGGATCAATGATGACGCTTATAATATGCTCAGATGACGCAATATTCAAGGGATGTAGTGATGGCCCATTAATATTGAAGAAACTGAAGAAAGCACACTCATTGCGGACGCTATCGTCGCTAACACGAAGATAAGTGAGAAAACTACGGGCTTATCGACTAAATATGCTCGAGCGACGGCATCGACGATGCAGTAAAGTGTCGTGGAGCTATGAACGCCGAGATCTACTCTAGATACCAACAAGGACACTGACACCCGACGATCGACAAGACCACAACTAGATCGCGGTGGGGTTTTGCCAAAATACGTCTATAAAAATGGCGCTGTCGTGCACTAGAGACACCATTTGTTGTGACGGGTTACCAACATAAATTCTCCAGAACTTATTTACCAATTGCCAGCATATATTTAAATTCGAAATGATACTTGCCATGTGTGCCGAATGTGCCCACCGATAGAGCAGTTGGGTGCCTATGCTTCCCCTCGAAGCAATGTGCGGACAGATGACGTTTGTATGGAAGTTCCGCTTGGTGTCGACGATGCTAAACTGAACATAGCTTATTATGAGTGGAAACAAGCAGCAAGTGTTTGAAACAAGATTATATCTTTTGTATAGCTAACGTTTGTGGGAGCAGCTTTATTATGCCGGGAATATTATATCCTGGTTGCGCCTTAAATACCTGATGTCGCAACAAAAAAGGTAAAGAGCTCAATAAGGTCAATGAAGAGCTCATTATCGCATTCGAGATGAATAATCTGGGTGTGGTATAGATTGAACACGAAAAGTCGGCTTATATGCTTGTGATCAAGCAGACTTACTTGATTGACGACGTGGGCAAGCAATTTGGTCAGAGAAATGCAAAGGGTGTGCAACCTGGGCTCGCCAGTATTAAAGTTATTGTCAGCAGCAGTCGCCTACAACGGAAGAGTGTCATTCGGAAGAGTGTCATTCGGCGATGCCATACCCACAGCTGTCACTTCTACCGGATAACTTCAAACTGCGACATCGGAGTGCAATTATCCATGTGCTACGCTGCGTGAAGACAAAAGTGAAACCGATATCGTGTTCACGACAGTAAAATATTGCAGTGAAGCCGTGTTTGAATAAGCTGGAGAAGAAATATCGATGGCAGACGCTCAATTTCTGGTAATAAGGTCAGATTTTCACGAGACCAGTGGTATCTTATTTGAATTACTAGCGAGCGGTTGAACATTGCTTGGTGGAGGCTGAGTTTCTGGTTCATATGCTTTGCGCTCAAGAAGTTTTTGGACGCTTGCAAAGCTTCTGTACATGTGAAATGATCAAGTATAGAGCACACATGTTTGGAAGACAACGAAGGGTCGAAAATTGAAGCCGAAAACATCGGATACCAAGCTCGGGATGATGTACCATCCGCCTATAGAGCGGAGACATCGGAACGCTATTTGATCATGCTTTCGGGCAACGGCAGTACACACCCCAGCTCGACAGGTCCCAATTCGATCGATATTGAAAGTATCAATGAAGGCGATAACAGTGATCTTAGTAATGACGACCACTTCTTGATCTCATCGCCTAAAAGACCTCGCCTTAAAAATGTCGGTCTGACCACTGAAGCAGTTTGAGCCTATGCTGCAAACGTCGGGAATGCGGATGATGCCCTAACCACGTCTCAGCAGGCCATGACAAGTCAAGGTGCACCAAAATCATGAAAGCCATGAAGGCTGAACTTAATGCGCACCAGTTCAACGGATCATGGACCTTGATGTCAAGAATGTGGTTATGCATTCAATTGGATGTCGGTGGGTCTTTGCAAAAAAGTGAAATGAGAGCGGGCAAGTGGTAAGGTATAAAGCTCGGCTTGTAGCCAAGCACTTCAAACAAAAGTTTGGTGTGGATATCAGTGAAATTTACTCGCCGGTGGCCAACATGCATTCAGATCGGATGGCGATGGCGCTTGTGTGACTGAGGGTTATGTGACCGAACAGTTGGATATCGACACTGAGATTCTTAGCAACAATCTGGAGAAATGCGTGTACATGGAAGTGCCACACGGTGTCACCAACTCCAAGAACTGCATCTGCCGATTTGATAAAGCAATACACGGCCTAAAACAAGCAGCTTGCGCGTGGAACAGGTCGGTTTCAAGAGCTGTAGAGCCGACTAATGCGTATACGTTTAGAAAAAAATGTCAAGCTTTGTGTAACAATGATGACGTGATCACTTATGTTAAAGCGAGCAAAGAGATAAAAGAAGTCAAGACAGCGCTCACGAAATTATTTAAGATGAAAGAGCTCGGTAGGGCCAAGTTCATATCGGGGCGGAACTAAATCATGTTTGGGCGAAGAAGACTCTCATGATCAAACCGACTCATTACTCTAACGACGTGGTGGGGCGATTTAGCCAACAAACCGCCAAAGCGGTCGAGATCCGTGCAAATCGGGACTAAGGCTGTCTAAGCTGCAGTCTCCGACGACCGATTTTGCCAAGACAAGATGCCTTCTCTACATTACACCGTACACTCGTCCTGATGTTGCATACGTCGTTACTCAACAATCGCGGTTCCTTGAGCCGCGATTGTGAGTTTCGGGCCAACAGCATTGGAAAGACGCCATTGGTGAAGCTCGATATCTGAAGACGTCGCAAGAGCATGGACTTGTCTCAAAGGGGAGCATAGGTGACTTAGACATTGTGGCATACACAGATGCCGACTGGGGTAGTAAAATCAGCTGAGTTGTTGGGGAAACAAAATTGAAAATGTTACATATATTCATCTTAACGTTGCCGTAGTTGTGCCGTTGAATTCGCTCCGTAATTTTTGCTGCGATTACCCTGCTAGTACCATATGTTCATCATTGAAAAAGCTATTGAAGATCGAGTTCTGGTGTGGAATCCCCAAAAAGAGCCCTACACATCGTGTAATTAAGCGTAGTTCTTTTAGGAGATTGAATTCTTGATCGAAAGAGTGGCGCATCCACACCTTTACGATGAATCTATCTGACTTCGCTTTGTGTCTGTACGTACAAATGTAAATTTATGCATGTAAAGTAGACACATGACCTGGAACATCGTCCGTTAGCGAATATTTAGCGGCTCGGTTTAAACGCTGTCACTAACCGTTTATGCTTGTTACTACTTTGATCTTGGTACTTGATGCCTTGCGTGTAAACTAATAACTATAGGCGTAAAATACTTTTGCAGCATATCCACATGCTACCGCTTCGTGTCGATGTAGTCACTTATAAAATGTTTTCATTGCACGGCTTTACAAACGAATTGGTGTCAACTTTTCACGTGCTTTGTCCGACCTTGGTATTCGATGTTACCGGCTTCATTTATCGACCTTTTGTTGTCTTCCAATACCTATGTGCTTTATACTTGCTCATTACCCGTGAATTTAAGCATTGCACGCGTCCAAAAGCATTTTGAGCGTAAAGCTTACGAGCCGAACACCCTCCCTCCGCCAAGCTATGTTCAACTGTTTGCTAGTGCTTCTAATAAAACACCGCAGTTGCGCCCGTAATTCTGACGTTATATTATAATGACGTCATACCCTTACCGGTACTCGACGTAAACCTAGCCGGCAATCATGTAGCCCGTCCTTTAGCATGCAGTGGCGTTAGAACTTAACACTCCTTTGTCACTTTTGCATTGTTGGCATGAATCGCACGCCGCTTGCATTTCGAAGAAGCTGGAGTTTATAGGCTTCGTCATCATGTCTGCTAACTACTTCTTCGTGCTGATTTACCTGACTACGATCGTATCTCGATCCATGTTTTCCGAAATGAAGTGATGACGGATATAAACATGCTCTGTATGAGTATTGTATCCTGCATTATCTGCAAGCGCGATGACACCAAAGTTGTCCTTAAAGATCAAAGTCGCTCCGATTTGTTCATGGCTAAGGTCTTTGAGCATAGTTCGCACCCATAAGACTTCGTGCATACACAAGCTAAGCGTGATGTATGCGGTTTCTGCTGAGCTGAAAGCTGCTGTGCGTTGATACTTTGACTTTGAAACCCACAAAAGCATGTACGATATCTCAGACAGAGAGCGCCAGTCGTCAAGAAGGCAGAAAACGATATGATGTACGCCCACCATAACCAAAAGGGGCTCGGCTAATACCAAAAACACCTTCAATTTAGCAATGCCAGAAATTGAGCGTCTGCCATCAGTATGTTTCTTCAGGTTATCCAAATACGGCTTAGCTGCAATGTCTTCTGATAAACTGGTGTGTCAAGTAGAAGGTAATTTGTGAAGTAGAATTAATATTTAATTTAGGCACTTAGTTCGTTAATTTGTGCTAGCTCTAACCCTATCCTATTAGTCCTTGCTTCTTGGTGACGTCACCTGTGGGCAAGCAGCGGTTACTACTCTCAAAGTAGCTCCAGTCGATTAACGCACTACAGGAGCGCAATTCTAAACTTCAGATCTGTAGGTAGCATCAGTGCTTTTGCAAATTGTAAGATAGCCGTGCTGTGTCTCTCACTCTAAGTATACAGAGAATTGGATCCGATCGCGCCATCTTGCTCGCACAACAATTAGCTTACTTTATCTACTGAAAGGCAGGCTATACGGGAAAGAAATGCTTGAGCTGTCAGCTTAGCTTGCTGACACTTGTAAATTATTTTTGCGTACTTGAATTCTACTTGTACGTACGTATATTGAGCTAAATCACCAAATCAAGCTTCCTATTATAAGCTAATGGCCGCTCCGGGTGCGACTCTGTCGGAAATTAAGCCCTTTATAGTGATCTTAACATGATATTATCAATTGGCATCATTGTTGGTGAGTCTTAGGGATATAAGTACATCACGCAGGAGATTTTGCCCAGGTGTTACCGTGGAAACTTCACAGTGAATACTCAATTAGAGATAATCTTATCAAACTTCAAAATTTTCGGTAGCTACCATTTACCTAATCCTTCCAAAATTCTGCATCCATATGAGACGACCCAGAACCAAATGATACTAATCAACCATTTAGAGTTATCGAGA